TCCAGATGTGGCCTCACCAGGGCTGAGTAGAGGGGCAGGATCACCTCCCTCGACCTGCTAGAGATGCTCTTCTTAATGCAGCCCAGGATTCCGTTGGCCTTCTTGGCCACGAGGGCACACTGCTGCCTCATGGTCAACTTGTCGTCCACCATGACACCCAGGTCATGCTCTCCAGAAGGTTGGTTCCCAGCCTGTACTGGTGTCTGGGGTTATTCCTCCCCAGGTGCAGGACCTTGCACTTGGCCTTGTTGAATTGCATGAGGTTTTTCACCGCCCAGTTGTCCAGTCTGTCCAGGTCCCTCTGGATGGCAGCGCAGCCCTCTGGGGTATCAGCTACTCCTCCCAGTTTGGTATCATCAGCAAACTTGCTGAGGGAGCACTCCGTGCCTTCATCCAGGTCATTGATGAATAAATTGAACAGGACTGGACCAAGGACTGACCCCTGTGGGACCCCGCTAGCTACAGGCCTCCAACTAGACTCTGCACCGCTGATCACCACCCTCTGAGCTCTGCCATCCAGCCAGTTCCTAATCCACCTCACTGTCCACTCATCTATCCCACACTTCCGGAGCTTGCCCAGGAGGATGTTGTGAGGGACGGTGTCAAAAGTCTTGGTGAAGTCGAGATAGACGACATCCACTGCTCTCCCCTCATCTATCCAGCCGGTCATTCCATCATAGAAGGCTATCAGGTTAGTCAAGCAAGATTTCCCCTTGGTGAATCCATGCTGACTACTGTACAGGTTCACACATTGTTGAATTAAAAGCATGTTTTGTTAGCAATATTTAGAAAACTTTTACTCTATGTTAAAAGAAAAAGGCATAGGAATCAATAATAGAATAATAGAATAGTATATCTACACTTTACTTGACCTACTACTTTAAAGTTCAACTAGTTCTTTGAAACCAACAGAGAAGCACTTACTTGTCAGTCATCACAGTGGGCTGGTCATCAGCAAATTCTTCTGGTGCAGGTACAAACATACTGACTATACTGGGTGCTGAGAGCAAGCTGGATTTTGTTGCACCTTGAGGCAATTGGTATGGAGAAAAATATATATTTTACAAGGTCCAGACTGCACTGGCCTGAAGAGCAGGTGACTAAATATAAGCCATGATAACTTTACACCACACAGAAATACAAAATACAATTGGCTGCAAAAAGCTGTGGTATATTCCTTGCTTCTGCCATACTATTCCAATTATCTAGAACTATCTATTAAAAAAACCCTTTAAAAATCCTTTAATAAGATAGTAACAAAAATTCCACAAAGGCTGATACAATTCTATCTACTCATTTTTTAAGGAGGGAGGATGAGTTATTATGAGACTGGACACCAGAAAATTTCCAGCCTTCCCCAGCCTCTAGGAGGCTCCCCTCGCCAAATTCTTGGTGACATGAAAAAAAAGTCAGTTCACAAATCTCACCACAAAATCACCAATCTACTCATATCATTCCTAACCAAGACCTGGCAACTTGCCGTTTCCATCTATCTGCAGTTTCACATGTAATGTTATCATTAGCCTGTATTGACAATATTTAATTACAGAAATTGGAGGCATCTTCCCCACCTAGGCTAGGTTCAGACAGAATTTCTAATGAGATAGTCCCAGTTAGTGCAGGAAAAGCAAATTTAGTATCATCTCTGAAGGAACGTGATTTGGGAAGCTTCCAAAACATCTGAATTCAAACTATGTGGAGCACTGAAGGCTGATTTGGTGAAAAGACAGTTTCAAACAATTATTTTACTAAGTATGGAAGTGTATACAGGGTTCAGTTCTTCCCAACAGTCTCCTGAGACTCTTCAGAATATGAAAAGACATTCTAGGAAGTCCAGAACACTCTTTGGTAATGCAGGACACCATTCCGAATATAAGGAATAAGAGTAGATTTGCATCTATTTCTAACCAATACTTTTCTCCTGACAGAGTAAAGATTTCTCTATCAGGAATGTGAAAGTTTTACTGCTGTCTTATCAAGATGCAAATACTGTCCCAGCATGCAATGCTAAAAGCTGCTATAATGTACGGTAGAGTGTTAGAATAAGGCTTAATTACTTATAAAACAAATATCCTTCTCCCGTGCACTCAACAGGAGTACAAATATGATCCAAGTAAAAAAGGTAGCTTGCTGCTCCATTGCAAGAAAGGCTGTATATTTTTGGCATTGAAGCAGGAAAGCTCATAAAGCTGAAAGATGAGATTCAACCACTGCCTATGGCATCTTTTACTTCCAGATTGCCAGTTCAAGTCCAGTTGCTTCTGTCTTAAATGAAATGTCTTATCTGATAACTTGTCAATAATATGTTCTGCAAGACAGTTGAGGACTTTAGTAGAACTAAACGGAGTGGACTAATCACCTCTATTTAATGCTAACAAAAAGCCCTTTCTCCTCAGTCTTAATAGAGAGAGCATCAAATGAACACTGAACTAACCTCTGATTCTCAGTGGGGGTCCCTCCAGGTCAGGGTTTAGGCAAACAGGGACATTGCAGAGCCGCTTCCCGTGCTGTATCTGCTCTGTGAATAAATACAGAAATTCAGCCTGCAGCACTATAAATCCAGCATCTGCTACCCGCACTACAAGTCTTAAACAATTAAAACAAAAAGAAAACAAAACAAAAAACAAAAACAAAGAACAAAAGAGCTAGCAGGTAAAAAAAAAAAAAAAAAGTCCTTAAGCACAGAAAGTGCAAAAGAAAATGACAGGAAGAGAAAGACCGAAGTAGTCCATGAAGGAAAAAGGATGCAGATTAGGTAAAACCAAAAAAGGAATTTTAGAAAAGTGTCATTTAAGAAGGAAGAGTGTTAACTGTAAAGACTGAGCAAGAAAGGTAATATGTGAAGAGTCACAAAAGGATTTAAGATAATGTTTAGAAATACCAGGACATTAGAATGACATCATGGACAGCTGTGCTGACAGAAATTAGACATGCAGTGATCTTAATTTCTCAGACTCATTCTCCGTGAAAAGTGGTTTGGAATAAGAAATGAAAAAGAGAGAAATGATACCTACTGTCATCTACTATGGTTAAAAATATAAAGCATACATGAAGTGATATATTCCCATATGCTTGTGTAGTATAAGACTATTTTGCAGCTGTTATACCTGGGAAGCAGCTATTTGAGAATAAGCCCCAAAACTTGGTGTGACATTGAGATGGCAAGTAGTCACACAGCATTTGTCCTGAAAAGAAAATGTTTTAACCATCCAAATAATAATTTTGTTTTAAAACTAATGGTTGAAAGAGAGACCGAGGTACGCAAAGCTTTCTGGAAAAACACATTTCCCTTAATATCTCTATGCTTGGAGTTGTAGATGGAATGAATACTGGCAGGAAAAATCATAGAAGTTGTGAAGAAAGCTCATGAGCATGGAACAAGATTAGTAAGACAGTATTCTTGAATCATTTGAGTACTGACTTGTCACTCTAGAAGACAGGCCAACTGTTTTTCCCTAGAATGAAGTCATTAAGTTACTCATTCTAAAACTCTGCCTGATAAACTAGATTATGTCAACTAAGTCCTTTCAACAAACTTACCTGTTTATTAATTGCTATCATTGAAAAATTCTCACTGAATTAAGGATCTCATACTGAGCATTCTGCTCAGCGAACTAGAGTAAAAAGGGAGAATCGTGCACCGAGCAACACAATTCTGCTTTTGACCTGAGCTTGATCATTTCTCCCCAATGGCAGAACAGAAACACTTTTTTAATATTGATTGATAGAAAGAATAATTGTTTTAAGGGAATAGAAATAAAGAACAGAGAAATGCAGCTCACCAGTATCCCAAGTGCTGATATTGTGGGGAGCACTAGACTGGTGTTCCAGCTGTCTCTTCATTAGCTGGTTCATTGTCAGAGCTCCCAAAGAGCCTCTTTTCATTTGTCTGAACTGAGCTGCAAGTCAGAAATGCAAGAGTTCAGGGGCTCACACAACATGTAAAACTACTCTCATTTCCTGATCTTACCAATCAGAAAAAGATAAAAACTGACAGGACATGAACTGCTTGCTATGAAGGATCTTGCTCAAGGCAGTATGCACTTCTCACACAACTATATGGGGTGAAATTCTGGCCCCAGTTATATATGTCGTAAATTACTTGGATCCAGGATCTCACTCACTGTGCCAATTGTCAGTGCCTTTTCGTCACCATGTCATGAAAGCTCTTCAAAACACAAGGTATCTGTGAGGCATAAGACACCACCACAAAGCTCCCATACTGACAGGTGATAGATATACACTTGAATCTCACTTGCACGCAACATGCTGAGTAAGGGAGGTCAGTCTTCACCCAGCAAAGTATGGAGGAGTACTCCGTCCTTGCTTATTGGAGAAAAAAAAATGTTCACTGACTGCAAACCCTCAGCACCTTCCATGGATAAGGCAATCTGAACAGGCCTCCTGAACAGCCACCACTCAAACACCTCTGCAGAGAGGTGTTCACCTTTAGAACTGTCAGTGCTCTACCTATTCTTCTCTACCTAATCCTTAAGTGAGAATTACTCTGTGTTTTCATGTATATATCTTAGTGGACAAGGCTCCCAGAACTTATAATTTGGGACTGCTATTGTCAAGTATTTTTTCTCAGTGCTTAAATGTAGGAAGCAACAGGTCATACAACACTCCTGACTTTCCTACTTTTCTCTCCTTTCATAGGAGAGGTTATATTGAACGAACATAACTCACTTCACCAGTTGAGTCTGAAAATGTTCTTCTACCAGTGAAGCCAAAATCATTCTTCACAGCATTAAGACAGTCTTAGAGCTCAGACATGGTGTGTGAGACGGTGCTTACAAGAATTTCCATGAAGCAAAGCTTTGGGTTTTGCTGCCTTAAGTATATGTTTAAGTGCTTTCCTGAATGCTTTGAATATTTCATTAAAGCAAGGGTAACAAAACAAAATTTTCTTCTTACTATCATTTTAATCTACAGCTACATCCAGCGTCATTTAAAAACAGTATTAACGTAACGTCAGATAGTTTAATTCTAAAATACCTAGTAATAATTAGCTAAGCTCTGAAAATAAATCCACTCTTTCACCTTATTAACTACCAACAGGGACAAACGACAACTTTCCAAAAGGTTTGAGGGGTTTAATGTTTTGTTCCTAAACTGTGTCTATTCATTTTCTAAATGAAAGTTTCAAATTCAGAGAAAGCTGAAAATTCCCTAACAAAACAAATAAAGGCACAGAATAGTTATAAGCACAATGATGAATTTCAGTGGAAATCTGCACACTGAAACAATTTTATTAGAAGTATTTTAAGTTTTCCCTCATTATATCCTTTCGCTGCATCAGAGTACATTTTAACTCTATTTTTAGCCCAAGTACAATAAACTCCTCCAACCCTGCTGCAAAGCAGTTCTTGTATAACTGAGCCAAACCAAATTCAATGTTTGACTTTATTTTGCAGCTGTCTTTCATAGCAAATTAGGAGTAAAATATAATTTTCATCGTTTCCAGGGCAAGGATTTTAAATAGATGCTTTATCACTTTGCTAAGCACAGAATTTCCTGATGAAAGAACAGCAATTAACGTTAGAACTGACAAGACTGCTTGGAGTGCAGATGACTGTCAAAATCAAGAAAATTATCTCCTTGAATTTTCTTAACAGCTTTTATGATTCTAATTAAAACTTTTTCATGCATATTTCACATTATCAGGCTACTGTTGAGCATGTTTAGATTCCCAGGGTTATTTACCTGATTGTTCAAGGACAGCTATGATTTCAAACACTGAAAAAAAAAATCCCAAATCAAAAAACCTACAAAGTTGCAAGCCTTGGAGACATACTGGAGCCAGGCTGGTTCCTGCAGAACAGCATGTGACTTTTCATATCTAGTACTGGCCAGAGAGAGGGGGAGGAAAGTTTTACTTTAGCTTTTCTTGATAGGAAACCTAACAGCCATAAAAGGATAGAGAACTTTCATATATTAGTTGGTGATTTTTTACATGTCGGCTCGCGGTATGATCATTCATTCTTCCATTTCTGTTGAATTCTCTACACAGAAAACGCAGCCCTATGACAACTGTTTGATGACATGTGTTTTCTGTGGCCACGCACTGGCTATACAAACAATGTCACCTATTTGTGTTATGGGAAGTGGCTTGTGTGCACAACCCTAATCATTGCTTATTATACTAACTACTGTAAAGGCACATAGTAAAAGACCAAAAATATTTCAATCTAAATAGACAAGAGATAAAAGGAAATTATTGAGGAACATGGAGAGAAGCATAGCCACAAAGAATTTAGATTATATATGATGCTGGGACCATTCCAGAGTCCCTATACTGGAATTTACAGCAACATCTAGCATTCAGGAAAACCAGGCAGAGACACATCCTAACTAGCACTCCTTCAGCTGCTTTTAAATTGCATCTGGGTCATTAGGTGGCCAGACAATGCTCACCTCAGACTATGAGAGGCACCTCCCACATGATGCTTGTGGTAAACCTGGAGAGGGAACCTCCATTCTGAGTCCTTATCTGGCATTTGCACAATAACATTGTCCTTTAACAGGCCAGTTACCGCTTCGACCAAAATCAGCAGATACTGCATTTCAAGCACATAACTTTTCTGAAAGTCCCATTCAGTGAGACTACTGAGCTGAGCCAGCAGCTCACTGTTGTCACCATTTCCCCTCCTTTTTCTATCAGCAACAGACAGATGTTCCCCAAACGACCCTCTGTACTTCTGAAGCACTATCCAGATGGACAAGCTGTTTTGGATTCCGTGCAGGTGTTTCAAGAAGTCTCTGCTTTTAGCCGCTGCCTTCCCTAAATCAGGAAAACCACCCTTGTCAAGTTTGCCAAACCACAATAGAAAATTTCGCAGCCACGTGCTGCTAACATCCTTCTGACCACCCGAGATAACAGATCTAACCCCAATACCCAACACGGCTGTATTTCCAAGTATTCAAAGCATTCAGAAGGAGGAATTTCTCAGGAATTATATATACACTTGATTTGCAAGTGCAGCAATTGAGACACATTCCTCAAAGTAGCAGCAAACTTACTTGATATGGAAGAGTGACTACTTGTCTCTGGCACTCCTGCTTCAAGGGTTGGTGCAGAGGATGACTCTCTGGGCATTTCCAGAGTGGAAAGTCCTTTTGCAGCAGGATCTGCATATGAAAAAGATGCTTAAATTCTCAGGATTTAGAATCAATAAATATTTTCCATCAGTTTTAAAACGATTCAGTGTATGGTAATTACCAAAGAAGCACAGGAGTCTATTTAAATCACAATTCAAAGGAGTCTTGTATATATGACTCTTAAAGTTCAGAATTAATAAATAATTTGATTTCAATCCCACTCAGAGAGTGATCATTAGAATCACCAACATGGAAATAAGAGATGCTCACAAATGTAGAATTAGTTTAAGTGACAGATTAGCATATTTTAAACATTTAATTCCAGCAGTTTTCAGTCAAAAGGTTGCTCACCTAGCAGCTGATCATGACAATTCAAAAAATAGAAAGACACAATAAGAAATATACTATTTAAGCTGCTTTTTTTATTTTATGATAACAGATATTGTCAATACGGAAAGAATAAAGCAAAATAAATATTCAAGTATTTTTGTCTGATTTCAACATACCTAATACAAAATGACTATGGATTTGTGCTGTAAAAAGTCTTATGCAGGAAATGTTGCACTGCAGAATTGTTCACTTGAAGAAACAACCCATTAGGATATTTAATTCATGATCAGAAGCCTTTCTAAACCATATGCAAAAATAATAGGCTGTCTAAGCTAGAGTAAGACTTCAAAATCGTTACAGGCAAATTATAATGGTGATTATAAGGCTATATAAATGAATAGCAATAAGTATGTTCTCAAATAAACTAAACAACAAGGATAAACAAAACTTATAAAGAGAGAAATTAAACTGCCTAAATCATCAAATTACCTAGTTACTGAACTGCCTCTGTCGACATATAACATCTATGAATACTTAGTCAGTGCAAATGGAAGAACTTCTTTATTGTGAGGGTGATAGAGCCCTGGAACAGGCTGCCCAGAGAGGTTGTGGAGTCTCCTTCTCTGGAGATCTTCAAAACCTGCCTGGATGCCACCCTGTGCCACGTGCTCTAGGTGTCCCTGCTGGAGCAGGGGGCTGGACTAGATGATCTCTAGAGGTCCCTTCCAACCTCAACCACTCTGTGATTCTCTGAATGGTTTATGCTCCTCTTGGATGACAGCTGTATGTAACATCTATCACACAAGTAAATGTTCTAATTCTGGGTTCCAGGTGGTGTGTCAGAACACAGCTCCAAGTATGTTAGCAAACTTAGATATGAAAACTACTCCTTTCTGATGTATGGGTCAAAAAAGCATTTTGAGTATAAACATGCTGTTCTGTTATGGTCATTATTCTCTAATAACTTATGTGGAAGGTTCAAAAGCACTTGCTTTTTATTTGTTTTACAAAGCTGCAGAGTTTCTTAGCTTACTGGAACCAGTGGGATGTGAGGCCTCAAACATAAAGAGAACAGCATAATTATGATCACTGAATGATTTGTCCATGCAAAATTGGTAGATCAATTTATGAATTGCAGTGAGAAATTTTAATATGGTTCCCTCCAAAATGATTAAGAAAGAAGGGAAGGCCAAGAATACATAAAAATTACCCTTCACTTTACTGGCAACAAAGAATTGAAGCGTGAGGAATGTTTTCATATTAATAGCAAAAGTGATTGACAAAATTTCGATAAATGAAATATCCTTAAAAAATAAGTCACAGAAGTCAGAAGTGACAAGTCAGCAGGACACACTTCTTGAAATCATTTTTAAACACATTTTAAACACATCCAATTGTCCAACTGGCATCTGAACACACAGTTAAAATACACTGCTTTTTACCTGAAAAACTAAGTAAAAAAATCCTGTACTGAAACAACCCGCTCTAACTAGGGATTCAGAGAAATATTGTATGTTTTTCCCAATAAACTGTGCTTGAACTTTAAATCCTTAACAAACACAAGCCTTGCAAACTTTGTAAATATCCATGTATAAAGGAGGTCAAAGGATTCTTTAGTGTATAAAAACTAAATATGGGCAAATCTCTGATCCTAAAGGCAAACTGCAGTTAACTCCATTTGCTCTTAGATCTGGAGAAGTCTGCAAGTTTTACCCTTTATGATCCAATTTGCTTTCTACTGCTTTGTGTCTGCAGAAGAAAAACTCAAGTCCAAAAACACCACACACAAAAGATAAATAGTGTAGCATGGACTAGATTAACACGTTTTAAGGATAAAAGGCACAGGTGGGACAATTTTTGTCTGTTGCTAAAAGCTTCACACCATATTAAGCCTTTGGATGTGTGTCAGTGGTTGAGCTCACCTGCCTCCTTCTGCTCTCCCAGCTTATCTAGGATGTTAAAGGAAATGTCCAAGTATTCTCTCTGAATAGCACTCACAGCAATCTTCCTCTGCTTCCTCTGGCGGGGAACAATCTGAATCTTAAATTCAGACTCCTCAGCCTCCTCTTCCTGTTTCTGCTCCATGTTTTGTTCAGTGTCAGACTCTGCATTGGTGTCAAGTTTGTCACTTTCTATTTGGTTTTCGGAATCCTCAGGAACTTTAATAAGGACAGTTTTGACATTTGGGCTTGGCATTGCTCCACTAGGTCTAATTTCCTCCACGCTGAATTCAGAGTTATCATCAAGGGACATTTCTGGGAGGGCGAATGACTTCTGCAGCAGGTCCCTTTTCTGTTTCAGTGTTAGTGAGTTCCCACAGGACACATCCTGAAGTTCCCCTGGCTTAGCTAAATCTGAAGAGTCCTTTTGACCTCTGGGAGAAGTGGAAAGGCTGTCCTCTTTTCCTGTGGAAGCACTGCTGCTTGCATCCTTGGAACCAAAGTCTTTGGAGCAATCTTCAATGCTGAACTGGACCAGAGGAGTTGTGCTGAGGCTGAGCGCAGACGCGTTTATCGGAGTTGAGGGTGACGACACAGCAGTTTTGCCAGAGACCTCCTCGTTTAACTGGTTTGTTGCATCTTCTTCATCACTCTCCACTATTCTGAGGGGAGGAAGTGGTTCAAAGACTAGAGAATCACTGTCTGAAGTAGAGAGCACTGAATGCTTTTCAGGACCTGATGTTGAGTCAGAGGACAAATCTATCAGATCCAAATCCTCTTTGGGACCAGAAGGTTTAACAGGAGAATCCACTTTCACTTCATAGGTTTCCATGCAATTTAACCTGACTTCTGGTATGACAGGTCGTCTTATTTCCTGAAAGCACTCTGTAGGGGGGGGTGTTTCCTGTGTTTCTGCATTTTCAGCTTTGGTGGAAGAGTTCTGCCGAGGTCGTCCATAATCATTCTGTCTGTGCATGGTGTATGCAGCAGGGACAGGTGGTTTTTCTAAGTCACATCGGTCTATGCAGGACTTCCTACGATGTTCATCTAATGTAAACAACAGGGAGTCTGCATTCCCTATATCAAGAGATTTTTGTTTTAGAGAGCGCAGTTTTTTTTTCTGTATGCTTTCTTCTCTCACGCACCGCAGAATACTGTCTTGTAAGGCCCCCGTCTCTCTATATTCAGCCAGCTCTATTTCACCTGATTGAAACAGAAAGAGCTGATACTATCTCAGTTGAAGACTTTTGGCAGGTATTTGCATTTTCGCCTCACAATTTAACACATAACTGGCATTTCAGATAGAAACGCAGTACTAGTTACGCATCAGTCAAAATTGTGGAAGATTTGTTTTAAGCTCTGAGCCACATTACATATATTTTTATAACAAACAACAGAAGCACCACTGTATAAGTAATTCTCCTCATCCCGGACAGGTGTACCCTGAAGAGAGTCCACATAATCTTATGCATCAGATAGAAGATGGCACAGAACAGTAATTTCTGCATCTATCTGGGAGGGCTGCATTATGCATGAGAGTGGAAAAAGAAATGAGTTACACAGATAACCTCAAATAGTTTTGAACATAATTATAATTGAATTGTAAATCCTATTGTAACCGAATTTAATTATGGCTTTGTGCACCATGTATATTAGACCACATCTATGTGTTTCTATTCGTAGCAGCACAGGTAGTTTTAACCAGGGTGCTTTAAATCCAAGCAGCAAGGGTAGCAATAGCAGTGCGGATGTGGCAGCACAAACGGTCCAGAAAATTATTCCTCCAGAAATTTAGTTGCTAGCCTCTCGTGGGGTTATCTCATCATATAGTCATAGCTTCCCATTCTAGTGGGAGAAAAGTGAGCACACTGGTGCTATCATTGGACTTCTAATCTGCCATATGAAAATTTTAAAAGACCATAATTTTCATGACGTATTCAAGTAACATACAGTATTCCCGATCATTATGAGACCCATATTTCAAAATAGTCCACATAACAATCACTGTGTGTAAAAGTAGCAGCAAGAAAAGCTGTTTGTTTGCAGGTGTTTGTTCTAGTCAGAATGTTTTTCTCCACATTCAAAGATTTGCAAGAAAATAAAAAAAAAAGGTGGGAAGTATTGGATGCTTTAATTTCTAGGGTGTTCATTTCAGAATTCTAAATCTGTAAACAGAACTCTTCTCTATTTTTGGAAAACAGCAATTGATACATTTATTTAAAGAAAAGCTAGCAAATTTGTTGCAACAAAAATAACTTGTCCTAAAATTCCACATAATGAAAAAGCCAATTTCTACATACAAAAAGAATACAAGAAAAAGATTATAACAAATCTTCTTAACAAACTTTCTGATATTCAAAAGTTTTCAGAAAACAACTGCTGGTTTTACATGTTTTAATGTGCATGAAGTTAAAAAAAAATGTGATAGATTGAACCTAACATGTATTTTTGCATGAGTTTATGTTGATAAAAATTCATACTTCTCTGAGCATTCATCTCAACTGGTTGATATTTCACCATTTTGCTCCCACCAATTCTTTTCAGTCTTGCAAAGAAAGTTTGAGACTCTTTATTGCAAGGTCCGGTTGGTGTATCATGAATATCAGATTCATCAAAAACACTGTCTTCCTCTGCTGGAGAGAGAAAAAATGTTAATACTTTTGAGAGAATGCAGTTTCTTAAATGAAAAACAGTCTACGTAACAAATTCTCAGCTAGTTTAAATTAACTTTGAATTGCAAAAAAGAAGAATCATCTGACACTTGTAAGGAAATGTGTATCCCAAGCATATCCTTGCCATTCTTGTTACATTTTGATTTTTTTTCTAGGTCCAAAAAGACAACATTAAATTGAAAAATGGGATGCCACGCAACAGAAGTGTGCCAAAGCTTTTATCATTCTAATCTGTTTTTTCTACTAATAAGACAACAGATTCTTTAGGAAGAAGAAAAACAGTAAATCTGGACACTGACTTTATTATACAACTGACCATAGTGCTCAATGAAAATTAGTACATTGAAAGACATAGGAATTAGTACAAGAATTGCCAAGTGAGTAATGAACTAGCAAAACAGAAAAGTAGAAAAAGAGGAAGGAGTCCACTTGTGGAGTTCTACAAGAGTTTTAGGACAAGTTTAAAGATCTTAATGAGTCACTTGGAAAGCGTGTTATTAAATCTGTAATATAAAATAAGACCAATAAGAGGAGGATCAGAATAACAACCAAGACAGACAATCTAAGGAAACAAGTATCAGTAATAGAATGAGACCTAACGATGAATAATTATTGATATAGGATGTAATAACAAAACATTATGTTCCAATTTGAGACCTTGCAGTTGGAAATGGCAAAGAAGAAAGATTCAAGTCCATTCATCCAAACATTTAGTATATATTCCTAATATGAAATGACTATAAATAAAAAAAAGAAAAATGCAAGACTGTCGTGTCTTGTGAGGTGTCTGAAAGGAAACAAGAAACATTACTACGGTATTATAGAATAAAGCATTCATCTTAAGAGAAGAAACTAAAAGAGTTCGTCTTGTTTATTCCAGTAAACAAACACTGAGAGGGAATGTGTTTGTGTCTAGGAATGAAGACAAGAAAAGCCTAAGAGTTACAGTGGCTTAAAAATGAAGACATAAACCTTACATTAAAATAATTTATTTTGCGATTGGTGGAAAATTTCTAATCAATATGAAATTATGGAACAGCCACCTAAAAGCACCAAGGATTTGAAACCCAAATGTCAAGATGAAACCAGAAAATTAACAAATCAGTTGATAATACAGATTTCTGCAGGGACTGGACTTAATAAGCTTGGAGATCACTTTTAGTTCTGTGTGATTGAAGTTCTTCAAGTAAACAAAATACATGGTCTTTGTTCTGTTGGATATTGTTTCATTGAGCAAAGAGCAGCAAAAGAGAAAAGGTACTGACATGCATAAATGGACAGAATGCTCCT